GCGCGAGCGTGAGGCCGCAGATCTTGAAGCAAGTCTTGACAATCTCGGGGGTGATGGATGCCCACGCGTTCTTGCACCAAGTAGCGACGGCCCCACGCCCCGGCGGTACCAGCTTGCCCGTCTTGGGGTCCCTGGCCGCCTTTGCCGTGTGTGCCGTGTACATGCCCCGCAGCAGCCGCTTCATCTGCTTGTTGAGCATGCGATCCAGCGGTTGGAAGAGAGGAATCAACCCGCCTGGAATGAAGATGACGATGGTGTTGGCTTCCCTCTTGAGGGCCGCGATGAAGCCATCGTCTTTGTGGCACTTGAAGTCGTCCAGCACCAAGATGCATCGGCGCTGCCGGACGATGCTGCCGTTGTTGGGACGGAGCTTCCAGCTGTCCTTGATCCAGAGCTTGCACTCCCGCAGGTCACACCAGCTCTTCTCCTGCACCCCGAAGGACATGCCTCCCACGGGGAGCCCGTGCTTGGAGCGGTTCGCAGGAAGTACCTCCCACGCGATAGAGTTCTTCCGCGGCTGAGTCGCCTTTCCCTTCCCGGGCGTGGCAGGCGGGACGAAAGGCGTACCCTTGAAGATGATGCGCAGCGGGACCTTCTTGCCATCCGCCGAGACAGCCAGGCAGAGCGTGAAGCGTTCCTTCTCTTTTCCTGGTGGGGGGGGGGGGATACACGATGTTGGGGGGTAGGGAAGAGGTTTCAAAATTGTGCGAATGCAACAGACGCCGGCTGAAATGGATGCAAACGGTAAAATTACGTTTCCAAGAACACGTGAATAATATCACGACCAGAACAAATATCCGGCCGACCGCAAATACGCACGACACTTCATGGCAAAAGTTACGAAAACATCGAACACAGCAGTCATACTCTTACCTCCGGTGGCGATGCGGGCATCCTTCGCACCGGTGTTTTCCAGAGTCGTCTCCACCGGCATCTCGTGCTGGACTGGCGTCTGGTCCATGTTGCCCAGTTCTTCGAACAATTCGTCGGTCACCAACTCCAGCTGCGATGAACTCAGGTCCTCCCCTCTGATGGGGCTCTCGCCAGGTGCAGGCGGGTAGCGCTGAGCGTAGATCTCGCCAGCACGCTCCAGGAGAGCCTTACGCAGCTTCATCAACGTCGCCCACGCCATGCCCTCGTGTCCCTTCGGTAGCTTTTGGCCCACGCTTGTACGCCGGCGGATGCTGAACTTGTTCCGTTTGCAGAAACGTTGGTACCAGCTCTTGAATTTGGAATTTAAAGCCAGCGCCTCCTCCGGCTTTGGCTTGGCTGCCAGCCCGCCGAGGGCATCCGGCTTCAACTCAAGCAGCTTGTTCATAGCCGCCATGCTACCACAGCCGACGTGATGCTTGCGCTGATCGTTGATGAATTCCACCAGGGCTTCTTCGATGTCGGCTCTCGAAGCTTTGCCTCTAGCGTGAATTTGCTTGGCCTTAGACAGCTTGGGGTTGGCGCTGACTTTGGCTCTGAGCGATTCTTCGTCGCGCACCCACTCGACGATACGCCTACGGGGCACGTCGAGAACTTTCGCTGCACCGCTGTTTCCCCCCGGTTTTCCGTCCTCGCAGACGACGCGTGTGAATGCGACCACTTTGAGTTTGAACCCGACCGGGTAGCCACGTTTCTTTCCGACTGCTCCTGATGTTTCACTTGGGAAGCCGGGCTCTGGGTACTTACGTTTCTTGCTGCCGGGGTCTTTTGCGGCCAGCATCTCGTCGATAGCCTCTCCTGAAGCCTTCGGGTTGGTAGCGGCAGGAACATCCATCGGTTCCAACTCCATCCAGAGCTGGTTTCCCAACAAGCGTAGGTTTGAGGTTGATTTAAGTTTCTCAGTATCGTGTAGTTTCATCCATCATCATGCCAGGGACAAGTCCTTGTCTTCCTTCATCTACTCCGTCCATGAGAAATACACGATACTGGGAAATATGAGTGCGGTTCAACACTCCACCGCCACAGCGACGCACACTCCAAGTGAGAACTTCCATCGGTTCCAACTCCATCCAGAGTTGGTAGTCTGACAAGCCTATGTTTGAGGTTGATTCAAGTTTCTCAGTATCGTGTAGTAGCATCCATCGTCATGCCAGGGACGACCCCTTGTCGTCCTTCATGTACACCATCGATGAGAGAAATACACCATACTGGGAAATATGAGTGCCGCTCAAAACTTCACAGCGACAGGCACGCATACTCCATGTAGAACTTCATTGGTTCCAACTCCATCCAGAGTTGGTAATCCGACAAGCGTAGGTTTGAGGTTGATTCAAGTTTCTCAGTATCATGTAGTAGCATCCATCATCATGCCAGGGACAAGTCCTTGTCTTCCTTCATCTACTCCATCCATGGGAAATACACGATACTAAGAAATGACTGTGTCGCTAAGAACTACAACGCTACAGGAACGCACACTCCTAATGAGAACATCCATGGGTTCCAACTCCATCCAGAGTTGGTAGTCCGACAACCGTAGGTTTGAGGTTGATTCAAGTTTCTCAGTATCGTGTAGTAGCATCCATCATCATGCCAGGGACAAGTCCTTGTCTTCCTCCATCTACTCCGTCCATGAGAAATACACGAACTGACAAATGTAAGTGCGGTTCAACACTCCACCGCCACAGCGACACACACTCCAAGTGAGAACTTCAGACGTTCAAGCTCCATCCAGAGGTGGTATTCTGACAAGCGTAGGTTTGAGGTTGATTCATGTTCCTCAGTATCATGTAGTATCATCCATCGTCATATAGTCCGTGCACACCAAAAAATCCAAAATTTTCCCAGCACAAATGACAACTTTTCTCTGCCCACAGGTGGTTGTTCCAAAATCTGAAAGTACCGGAAAACGCCCTGTTTGCAGGCGCATGGCGTGACGGCGAGTTTTTTTATTTTTTTCTTGACTTTTTATCTGCGCAAAACCGGAAAAACTTGAATTGTTTTCGCAGGGGTGTGTTCTTTGCCGATTCGAAAAAACTCAACGGATTTGAACAGATGTCGGCATTTGCCAGGTCGGTATTTTTTTTTTTATCAAAATATTGTAAATTCACGGAGATATCAGAGAAAAACCGGATCTAGAGGGCTAACTTGTATTGTTTTTCGGGGGAGAACTAACCGACCGATTTCAAAATAAACAGCGGCAAACGATTCCTCTCCTCAATATCTAGGTCGGTATTTGTGGTTTTTGTCGGGAAAAATCTGCTTTTCAAAATATTCAACTTTTTGTTGTGCCGTCCCCATGGGAGATTTTTTTCGTTGGGCAAAACGAACACACAACAACCGCACACGTGGCGGCCCGAAAACACGAAAGACGCACGCAAGCACCATGGGNCTTTTCAAAATATTCAACTTTTTGTTGTGCCGTCCCCATGGGAGATTTTTTTCGTTGGGCAAAACGAACACACAACAACCGCACACGTGGCGGCCCGAAAACACGAAAGACGCACGCAAGCACCATGGGGAAGCCTCAGGGACGGTCCAACAAGAAGACGTTCGGCCCGCGCGGAGCCGATGGCCGAGCGGTTTCGAAGAAACCGAGGCCGACGCAGCAACATGATCTTCCATCTCCAGGCGCTGGCGGTGCTCTCTCGGGTGGCCATGATGGCGCGATTTTGATGGACGTGGACGAAGAGGAAGGTACGGCGGCAGCAGACGAGGACGTCAACGACGAGGACTGGGGCGATGAGGATCCCAGCGGTGCACACAGCAGTGGTGGAGGTCAGTCGATATTGAGCGTACGACGAGGGGACGGTGGACTACCTCAAGGACCGCGAACTCGAGGAGTGGAACACGCACCGAGAAGCCACCCAGAGAGGGGATACCGTCGTGGAGGCAACGGGAGGGCGCAAAACACAAGCGGAAAAGGACGCCGCGGCGGCGCAGGCGTTGGCGGCTTCGCAAGAATGCCGAACCTTCTCCGTCAGGAGGGCGAAAAGGACATTCAAGAAGTGGAAGCAGGAAAAGGAGAAGAAGCGGGCCATGGAGCAGGAGGGAGAGGAAAAAGAGGCCGAGAACGATGCGTAGTGATGTGTGCCTTTTAGTGCTGCCCAAAATTTTGCTTAACAGCTTGGCCGAGGTTTGTTGTGTTGTGTGCTTGGTGCGTGTTTCCCTTTCTTCGTGCCGATCTTGTATACGGAGTATAAGCAATATACAGCAGTAAACAATACTGCTTTATAAATATTTTCGTTTGTGTGTGCAGAGATTCGTCAAAGTTATATAGAAGTGATGGTATTTCTCCCTATGGGTGTCGTCGACCTACTTTTCTTCGTGCTATCTGTACAAATCCAATCATGTGGTGTCCGTAGTGTACAAAAGCAGGCACTGAGAAGGGTAGTGGGCGTCCCGGGGGGAAGGTTAGGGGGCTCCGTGGATGAATTTGGGGAGGTATGTCGTGTTTAGGGGGCTCCGTGGATGATTTCGCCAAAAATGTTGCATATCGCCGAAATTAAAAAAACTCTGCAGCTATCGACGAATCTTGACGAGGCGGTCACGACTATCGTTGTTTCACGTTCCCATTCTTTCTCGAAAAGAAGTTATCGCACAACACGTAATTGGACAAAATGTTGTGCACGGACCGTACCAGGGACGACCCCTTGTCGTCCTTCGTGTACACCATCGATGAGAGAAATACACGATACTGGGAAATATGAGTGCCGCTCAAAACGTCACAGCGACAGGCACGAAGACTCCATGTAGAACTTCATTGGTTCCAACTCGATCCAGAGTTGGTAGTCCGACAAGCGTAGGTTTGAGGATGATTCATGATTCCCATTATCGTGTAGTATCATCCATCGTCATGCCAGGGACAACTCCTTGTCTCCGTTCATCTACTCCGTCCATGAGAAATACACGATACTGGGAAATCTGAGTGCCGCTCGAAACTACACCGCCACAGAGACGCACACTCCGAGTGAGAACATTCATCGGTTCCAACTCCATCCAGAGTTGGTATTCCGACAAGGGTAGGTTTGAGGTTGATTGGGTTTCTCAGAATCGTGTAGTTTTCTCCATCGGCATGCCATGGACGACTCCTTGCCTTCCTTCATCTACTTCATCCATAAGAAATACACGATAGTGACAAATGACTATGTCCCTGATCACTACACAGCCACAGAGACGCACACTCCAAGTGAGAACTTCATTGGTTCCAACTCCATCCAGACTTGGTAGTGCGACAAGCGTAGGTTTGAGAATGATTGAGTTTCTCAGAATCGTGTGATTTCCTCCATGCCATGCCAGGGACGACTCCTTGTCTTCCTTCATCTACTCCATCCATGAGAAAAACACGATAGTGACAAATGACTGTGTCCCTGAGAACTACACCGCCACAGAGACGCACACTCCAAGTGAGAACTTCATTGGTTCCAACTCCATCCAGAGTTGGTAGTCCGACAAGCGTAGGTTTGAGGTTGATTCAAGTTTCTCAGTATCGTGTAGTAGCATCCATCGTCATGCCAGGGACGACCCTTTATCGTCCTTCGTCTACACCATCAATGAGAGAATTCAGGATACTGAGAAATATGAGTGCCGCTCAAAACTTCACAGCGACAGGAACGCACACTCCAGGTGAGAACTTAATCGGTTCCAACTCCACTCAGGCTAGGTTGTCCGACAAGCGTAGGTTTGAGGTTGATTGCAGTTTCTCAGTATCGTGTAGTATTATTCATCGTTTACGCTGGAGACGCCTTCTCGTCTTCCTTCATCTACTCCATTCGTGGGAAATACACGATACTGAGAAGTACGAGTTCCGCTCAAAACTACACCGCCGCAGGGACGCACACTCCGAATGAGAACATCCATCGGTTCCAACTCCATCCAGAGTTGGTAGTGCGACCAGCGTAGGTTTGAGGTTGATTGAGTTTCTCAGAATCGTGTGATTTCCTCCATGGCATGCCAGGGACGACTCCTTGTCTTCCTTCATCTACTCCATCCATGAGAAATACACGATAACCACAGAGACGCACACTCCAGGTGAGAACTTCATTGGTTCCAACTCCATCCAGAAATGGAAGTCCGACAAGCGTAGGTTGACTCAAGTTTCTTAGTATCGTGTAGTGGCGTCGATCGTCCTGCCAGGGACATCTTCTTGTCGTCCTTCATCTACACCGTCAATGAGAGATACACGACACTGAGTAATTCATGTGCCGCCAAAAACTTCACAGCGACAGGAAGGCACACTCCATGTGAGAACTTTATAGGTTCCAACTCCGTCCAGATATGGTAGTCCGACAAGCGTCGGTTTGAGGTTGATTGCAGTTTCTAAGTATCGTGTAGTATGATCCATCGTTACGCTGGAGACCCCATAAAGTCTTCCATTATCTACTCCATCCATGGGAAATACACGATACTGTGAAATATGAGTACCGCTCAATGCTACACTGCCGCAGGGACGCACACTCCAGGTGAGAACATCCATCGGTTCCAACTCCATCCAGAGTTGGTAGTACGACAAGCGTAGGTATGAGGTTGATTACAGTTTCTCAGTATCATGTAGTAGCATCCATCGTCATGCCAGGGACGACCCCTTATCGTCCTTCATCTACTCCATCCATGAGAAATACACGATACTGGGAAATATGAGTGCCGCTCAAAACTACACCGTCGCAGGGACGCACACTCCGAATGAGAACATCCATCGGTTCCAACTCCATCCAGAGTTTGTGGTGCGACAAGCGTAGGTTTGAGGTTGATTGGGTTTCTCAGAATCGTGTGATTTCCTCCATGGCATGCCAGGGACGACTCCTTGTCTTCCTTCATCTACTCCATCCATGAGAAATACACGATACTGAGAAATGACTGTGTCGGTGAGAACTACAACCCCACAGAGACGCACACTCCAGGTGAGAACTTCATTGGTTCCAACTCCATCCAGATCTGGTAGTGCGACAAGCGTAGGTTTGAGGTTGATTAAGTTTCTCGGAATCGTGTATTTCCTCCATGACATGCCAGGGACGACTCCTTGTCTTCCTTCATCTACTCCATCCATGGGAAAAACACGATAGTGACAAATGACAATGTCCCTGAGAACTACAACGCCACAGAGACGCACACTCCAGGTGAGAACTTCATTGGTTCCAACTCCATCCGGAAATGGTAGTGCGACAAGCCTAGGTTTGAGGTTGATTCAAGTTTCTTAGTATCGTGTAGTAGCATCCATCGTCATGCCAGGGACGACTCCTTATCGTCTTCATCTGCCAATCCATGAGGAATACACGATAATGAGAAACGACTGTCGCTGAGAACTACAACCCCACAGAGACGCAAACTTCACGTAAGAACTTCATTGGTTCCAACTCCATCCAGAGTTGGTAGTCCGACAAGCAAGCGTAGGTTTGAGGTTGATTGCAGTTTCTCAGTATGGTGTAGTACTATCCATCGTTACGCTGGAGACGCCTTGTCGTCTTCCTTTATCTACTCCATCCATGGGAAACACACGATACTGGGAAATATGAGTGCCGCTCAAAACTACACCGCCGCAGGGACGCACACTCCGAATGGGAACATCCATCGGTTCCAACTCCATCCAGAGTTGATTAACGAATGAATGCCGAAAAGTACAAATGCCGCAACAACACACAAAAATATTCTGTGGCAGCCGTGGTGGTGGACGCGTTTTGGGGAAAGCGGAAATTACCTGGGTTGCTGCCTGTGTGGGATTCATGCATGAATGCCGAAGGATACAAATGCCGGAACCACACACATAAAAGTGTGTGGCGGCCGTGGTGGTGGACTTGTTTTGGGGAAAGCGGAACATACCAGCGATATTTCCTGTAAATCTTGTGTGGCGGCCGTCGTGGTCGACTTGTTTTGGAAAAAGCGGAAATTACCAGGGTTGTTGCTTCTGTGTGATTCACGAATGAATGCCGAAACGTACGAGTGCCGCAGCAACACACAAACATGTTCTGTGGCAGCCGTGGTGGTGGACTTTTTGAGGGGAAAGCGGAACTTACCAGGGTTGCTGGCTGTGTGGGATTCACGAATGAATGCCGAATCGTACGAGTGCCGCATCAACACACAAACATGTTCTGTGGCAGCCGTGGTGGTGGACGTTTTGGGGGGAAAGCGGAACTTACCACGGTTGCTGGCTGTGTGGGATTCACGCATGAATGCCGAAGAGTACGAACGCCGGAACAACACACAAAGATACTGTGTGGCGGCCGTCGTGGTGGACTTGTTTTGGGGAAGGCGGAACTTACCAGCGTTGCTGCCTGTGTGGGATTCACGCATGAACGCCGAAAAGTACAAATGCCGCAACCACACACAAAAATAGTGTGTGGCAGCCGTGGCGGTGCACTTGTTTTGGGGAAAGCGGAACTTACCAGGTTTATTTCCTGTAAGTCTAGTGTGGCGGCCGTGGATGTGGATTTCTTTTGGGGAAAGCGGAAATTACCAGGGTTATTTCCTGTAAGTCTTGTGTGACGGGCGTCGTGGTGGACTTGTTTTTGGGGAAAGCGGAACTTACCAGGGTTATTTCCTGCAAGTCTTGTGTGGCGGCCGTCGTGGTGGACTTGTTTTGGTGAAAGCCGAAATTACCTGGGTTGTTGCCTGTGTGGGATTAACGCATGAAATCCGAAAAGTACAAATGCCGCAACCACACACAAAAATATTGTGTGGCAGCCGTGGTGGTGCACTTGTTTTGGGGAAAGCGGAACTTACCAGGTTTATTTCCTGTAAGTCTAGTGTGGCGGCCGTGGATGTGGATTTCTTTTGGGGAAAGCGGAAATTACCAGGGTTATTTCCTGTAAGTCTTGTGTGACGGGCGTCGTGGTGGACTTGTTTTGGGGAAAGCGGAACTTACCAGGTTTATTTCCTGTAAGTCTAGTGTGGCGGCCGTGGATGTGGATTTCTTTTGGGGAAAGCGGAAATTACCAGGGTTATTTCCTGTAAGTCTTGTGTGACGGGCGTCGTGGTGGACTTGTTTTGGGGAAAGCGGAACTTACCAGGGTTATTTCCTGTAAGTCTTGTGTGGCGGCCGTCGTGGTGGACTTGTTTTGGGGAAAGCCGAAATTACCTGGGTTGTTGCC